TGTAGTCCATATCATGTAGAACAAACTTTGTTTTTGGACGAAGAGCTAGATCATCTTGGAAGTAAGTCAAATCGAGGTCACAAGATCGAATTTGCTGCTGATTTCAGGACTTAGAAATATTCTAAGTCTAGAAATTCGTCGACATCGGCATTGACGTCTCGCGTTCTCCAAATTTCGTTAAGTAACTTGACTTGAACCCAAAATGGAAGTTGGAGCTAAGTTCATGGAGAAGGGCATGTAAAAGATGGCACTTTCGTTTGACCTTGTTATGACCCTCAATTTTTGAGTTTGTTAATCATTCATCAACGCATTGACACTATCAACTTGAGACTTGATTAGCTACTAATATGAGAGTTTAATGTCTAGGCACCCTTAATAAAAGTTGGAGAGCAGCTTGTGCACAACAACTTTGCTACAGCGCGCCAGGTCCGAATCCAAGCCGAATATGCCGTTTTGAACTGAAAAAGTCGGGAACTCTCTCGCGCACTGTGTGTTCGACGGTGGCCCCAAATGAGACACGCGGTCGCCATGCTCCTCGCCTCTGCTCCACGCGTCGAGGGCGCCCCGCCGAAGCCGCCTGCCCCTGCCTGCGTTAATGGGGAGCACCGGAGCGCCCTCACTCGCCTCTCTCGCCGCTTCGCTCTCCTCCTCCCTCGCCCTTCTGTGCATGACATGGCTTGCCTCATGAGCAGCGTCCGCCATGGACAAGCCGAAGCGGAGCTCCTCACCGCTGCCATCGCCTCCACTCCGTCCCTCCTCCGTCCGAACCAAGCGGCATCACCTTCTTCCTCCTTCCGTCGCGCTCTGGACCTCCTTTATCGGGCGCTTTGGTCGCTGATGCTCCCATTGTCCGAGAGTGCCCTGCCGCCGCCATGACTCATCGTGGGCTGCCACCACCAGCCGCGTCGGGCAGCTGAAAGCGACCAGCCAGCGTGCAGCTTGCCTGGGACCCTGGTCCTCCCCCGCCACTCCACCGCCGCCATCGACGCCCACAGCTGGCCGGAGCCGCGAGCCGGCCGCTTCCGACCAGGGGCTTCGTGCTCGAATTCGAGAAAAGAGAAGGGCCTTTCTGCAGAACCTGTGACTCATGTGAATAGTGCCGTAAGGACTGGTTTATAATTATTTTGCAGGAACTTTGGAAATTCATAGTAAATCGTAGAAAATTCATAAAATAGTAAATGAGGACTTTTTGGAATCCTTGTGAAATTGTCTATGCAGTGGATCTATAATATGGCATGTTTTAGTTTAAATATTTTGCGGTAAAAATAGATTTGTGCAGTAAGGTTGTAATGCTAGTTGAATTTGTTATTTTTCATAACTGTAGATCTAGGGCTCCAAATGAAGTGAAATTTTTGTGGCATGCTACTCATGTGATAGTTGATGTGTGGTAAAACTTTCATAAGTATTGGATGAAGTATGAGTGAGTTATTGGTTTATCTTGCTCTCACATGATTTCTTACTTTAGCAACTTGTCTTTTTCATAGAGGTTGCTATACATATTCAAATGGAGTGAAATTTGTACAGTAGACTATTGAGAGGATATGTGAGCCACTGTAATTTTTGTAGAATTTATTGTATACTTTTGGTATATGTTCATTAAGTCACCTTGTTATCTAAAATAAATTAAGAAATGCATTAAAAGAATTTATTTGGTCATGGACACTAGGTTTTCTGGTGTTCTTTAGTCATGTGTGACATGTTGGTAAAGTTGGTTTTGCCTAATTATGTGTTTGCAATATAAGTTAATATTTATTTTCTTGCAAATGTGGTTTTTGGACAGATTTGGGGACTTAGCAAAGTTCTTCATGATAAGGTGCTTTGTTGTGAAACTTGTTTATACAAAAGTTGTAGATAATTTATGTATCTAACTACTGTTAAAATTTGGTATCATTTGACTGAGTAGTGTTTGAGTTACAACTGTTTAAAGTTAGAATACAGGATTTGTTGCTCTTTGTTTTGTATGAACCAGTTTCTGTAAAGGTATAATTTCAACCTACTTAACTTGGAAATCATGCTGTGATGGTTATAGATGAAATGTAGATAATTTCATAAGCTTTCCAAAATGTCTTCTTGCAAGTCATTTGGATTTGTGTAACTCCAGTTATAGCTAAATCTTGTAGCTGCTGTTTGCATGTCCAGAAATTGGCAGATTCCAATTATAGTGCTTGCTTGTATATTGTTAAGTATGACGTATGCCTTGAATGATGACTGAGTTAGAGCACTTGAGATCTTGGGAAACTTGTGTCATGCTTGATGTTGTCGTCTTCTTTGCCATCTTAGCATGACAGATTGTGTGATGTTTAAGTTAAGCATCGCAAAGTACTTAAGTGTGTTAGTGTAAACTATGCTTGTCTTGCTTGCTAATTTGTGATGTGTCTCATGGTACTATTCTTTATATTTATGCACTTGCATATTGCATCTCATTTAGGTACGCTAGATGCACCACGTGAAGGATGAGATGTTGAAGCCAAACCCGAAGACAGTGTTTGATGGATCTATCCCGAAGATGGAAGGACTAAGCGAGTGCTAGGACCTGAGATGTCACCAGGACGGTGCAAGCTAACTGAACTGACTTGTGTCGGATCCCAGGCAAGCCCCGGAGCATTATAAGTCTCCTAATTTATAAAAGCAATTCTTTCTATATATATGAGTTTATATATTGTTGCATTAAGTTGTAGGAGTTGATTGAAACCGTTGATGCATTTATTACTATCCTTGCCTACCTTATTACCTTATTACCCTGTTAGGTCGGGATCGAATAACTGCTTAGCCTTGCTTAGACCGGTAGCAATCGGTGATATCCATTCACCTATATTATAGGTGGTTACTGGAAGAATTTAGCTATGGAAAGAATGATATCCTGGAAGTAACCCTGTGTGATAGATAATTGGAGACCGGACGGAAAAGTTGGAGGCAACCTGACAGGGTTCTGGGGTGCTGTTAGTTTCTGTCTGTGTCGATTAAGGACCGACCGTTGTTGGCCCTCGAGTCATGTTGAACGCATGCCTTACATTTAGCTGGCCGGATAAAGTACCTTCCGACCGCGAAGCTGGGAGATTATTCGGGCCGAGTAGATTGCCCGCAGCGCACTGTGCCGGAGCAGGTGTGGTAGGACACGGGGGTGAGATGATAAGACCAAAGTGCAGTCGGTCGGCCCCCGGGTACATGTGGTTCCTGGCAAACTCGAGACTACTGGATAGTTGACTCGGTGATCAATATCTCACTTTAGCGGGTGAGTGAGGTTTGTGTAAGGAATAAATCACCATCTGGTTAGGAATCGATTCGAATCGCCATCGCTCCTGTATAGTGAGCACTTGACTCGAGTTACGGCATCGTAGTAATTATTATGGAACAACGATGGTTATCTGGATGATATGGGATATGCTAAATCTAAGTTGGTAACTGGATGTTATTGGTTAATCAAGTGATTGCTATAGTACAGGTGCTTACCTAGATGGATAGGTCATAATAAAGATGATGCAAAGTACTTAAAATGGTTTCTTCATGAAAGCTTATGCTTTTCGCAAACAAGTCAGCTAGCCCACTAAAGAAAGCCTTGCATGATCCTTGGTGTCATTTGTTTTGGTTTTCGATGGGTAAGTCTGGCTGAGTACATTCGAGTACTCAGGGTTTATCCCACCTTGTTGCAGGTGAACTTCTCGACCTGTTGATGATGGTGGCTAACCGCCGGTGGGCTCGGTGATTCTATATTTACTTCTCACCTATATGCTTTTGTCTGAGGATGTCACTTATGCTAGCAATATATTTGGAACTTATATTAATGTAATCATTTAAAAGCTATGTTGTTTTTCATTAAGCGGTCTTGAAACCCAAACTTGTGCTATTATTTGTGAACCCATTTGTAACATTATTTCTGCTGCAACTCTGCATATGTGATGTGTATTTGCTTAATCACGCGATCTTGGTTGTGATGTTGATTTACCGAGGTCTTTCGGGACACTCGGCGGACTACCGGGTTTATATAAGTGAAAGTATGTGTGTGTCAACGTGTTAGCGGGGACAGCCGTACTTGATCTTGTATAAATTGGGCGGTTCTGTCACAGTATCCCGTCCGAGGCCTTGCGGGGCGGGGCCTCGGCGAGGGGGCCTCAGCGAGAGGGCCTCGGCGAGAGGGCCTCGACGGTGCGGAGAGCTTTGGCCTTTCGTCTGAAGCCTCGGCGCAAGCCTCGGGCGAATCGGAGAATCCGCCGAGACCTCGTGGTTGTTCTTTGGCTTTGATTTTTGTAAGGCTTAAGCAATATTTTCGGTTCTTGCTTAGGGTATCTTTTCTTGTGGTATCCGACAGTAATAATCCTTATTCTCTATTTTTTTTCTCTTTGCTAGTGAGAAACCAGAAATAAAAAATTGACAACATTTAAAGATCCGGTTGGAGACTTTCGCAAAAAAAAAAAAAGATACGATTGGAGTGGCTGTTCGAAGATATTTTATCGAAATCTCTATTCATAGAGTGGATGGATATAAAAGGACTCTCGTAAGTTGCTCTTGGAATCTATTTTCGCTAATCTTGAGGCTAAAAAATATTGGGTCGGGTTCAGGCCGAACACGGCCCAGGCCGGCCCTAGTGCTTTGACGCCTAGACCTCAAAGCATCACACACACACCATCGTCCTCTCCTTCGCCAGCGCCGCCGAACCCGCCACCAGCCTCCTCCCACCCTCGAAAGCACGGAAGTCTCCCGGAAGGAGCTGTCACCTAGCAGCCATCGCTGGCGCGGCCGTCCACCTCCTCCGTCCCCTCCTCCACTGTTATTGGATTGGCGTCGGAGTGGAGATCAAGCCGGGCTTGGAATTTCCTTCGTTGGTAAGGAACCCTAATTTGGTCGGATGGGATTTTCATCTTCGACAACGCCCGCGAGGTCGATCGACCTCAGCTGACGCGAGGGATTGGAAAGCTAAGATGCGGGTGTAGCTAATTTTCTAGGAAGATTGGGGTTTCAGCTCGAACCCCCATGCTCGACGCTGAGGACGACCCTGGCGGGAGATGACGAGGATCTTCGTGCAGCGCGGGACCGCCGGCTCCTCGTCCAGCTCCGGTCGCTCGGGCTCGCAGCCAGCGCAGCAGCCGGCAGCAGCTGCCCGGGAGGAGGAGTTGCCGCTGCAACCTCAGCCACAGCTGCCGGAGCTGTTGGCCATAGATGATACAACTGAGTATTTAAATGAGGGCAGCGAGAACAGCAGTAGCAGCAATAAGCCTTTGAGGGCGGATGACACCATTTCAGAGAGCTCGAGCTCCGCAGAGGAGAGGGCTGCCAGGGAGAAGCCTCCTAAGGATGACTCTAATGTAATCAACCCCACTTTCTTAGTAGAGGAACTGACAGGGCTCCAGATCCCTGATCAGATTGAACATGGAAACTCTGTGCCGTCAGGCACTAGTTCATCACAGATGGTGGGTGCAGCATCGCACCCGCCGCCACCGCCAGCTCCACCTCCAAAACCATTGTTGGGGAATAATGGGTTGCGGAGAATGGGGCCTGGAAGTTCGAACAGTGTGCGGATTGGATCTTCAAGAAGGCCAGTAGTTTGGCCACCAGTGGCAGCCCGGACATCTGCTTCAGGTTCTCGGCCTTCTTCGCCTAGGTCACTCGTCGATGGCGAAGGTTACAATAGTGCTGATGAACAGGGCCCCTGTTACCCCTCAAGTTATGATGATTCGGTATGATTTTCATTTCTTGTTTTGCTTTTTTATATGAGCTTTAATCCCTCCTATGACATTTACAGCAGTACTATATTCATCACCATTTATTGTATATAATTCTAGATGTTTAGCATCCTTGTAGTTAGACAATATGCTCCTAGGTAGCTTGGCTGTGTTTTCTATGTGTATGATGATAATTTGAATATGAATTTTATATTTCCTCCTGGTGTCAGATAACAGAAGCATTGTTCTTACTTTAGCTACTTTTTTTGTGTGAACATAGGAAGGCACAGCTCTTGGTCAAGAAAGCTCATTTTTTTCTCGCTTATACAGTAACGGTTTATGTTGTGTACACGAGTCGGTTTAATATTGTACGATCATATTTTTCGCAACTTCTCATCTAATTTATTTTGTGCCTCAGGAAAGGGAGCGTATGTTTGAGCATGACCTAAGGCGAGTGAAAGGGTTGGAAATCAGAAAGATGGCCGAAGACGGGAACTGTCTATTCAGAGCTGTTGCTGATCAAGTTTATGGAGACGCAGAAGCTTATGACATGGCTAGGCAGATGTGTGTTGATTATATGGTAGGTTTCGTCTATGCATCCAGCAGTAATCTTCTAGTTTATATCTTGTTATTAGGACAGTCTTTTGCTTACCCAGTGCTTTTAATTAATAAATTAATTATCAAAGTTCTGACATGTCTTGCCATTTTTGCAAGCCGTCTTAATATATTGCACTTATTTATGAACATTAAATCCTTAGCTTCATTAGTTTTTACGCTGTCGTGAATCGCAAGTTTCTTAAGGTGTCGTCTAGTTGTCGCCTAGGCGTCTGGACGATTTTCCAAGTGAGCTGTCGGGCTTGCCGTGTCTTCCGTGCTTATGGCGTCACCTCACCTGCCAAGGCGTCGGATGGATGCCGAACGCGCGGGAGAAAAAGGTGCCACGTGGGGGAGGAAAAGGCGTCGCACGCGGGAGAACGGCCGTGTAGGAGGAAAAGGCATCGCACGCCGGGGAAAATGAGAGGGATTCACGCGCCTACTCCTTTACCAAGAGGTGCGTAATCTGGAATCTGCGCCATTTGAGAGTGGGAAGGAAAGAGAGGAGAGAGGGAAAGAGAAGAAGGCGGCGGAGCACCCAGAACCCCGGCAGCTGAGCACTTCGTACCTGGCGGCGGCACCTGCGCACCTCCTTCCATGACCCTGGCTCCTTCTCCTTGATTCGCGACGCCTCCACCGCCTTCTGCTCATTTTTCCTTCTTTTTTCTCCCCTGTTTGCTCTTCCTTCCCCATCCTTCCTCTGCTCTGCTGTGCTTTGCTCATTCCTTTGCTATGCTCTGCATTGCTCATTCCTTTGCTCTGCTCTGCTTTGCTCATTCCTCTGCTCTCCTCTGCTTCTTCCTTTGCTCTCTGCCCCCTCCTTAGCTCTTCCTGCCCCCTCCTTCCTCTACACTACTAGGCTGCTCTGTTCTGAAGTTCTGCTTATGCTTGTGTGTGAGTGCATGTCTGGTGCTCTGTTGAGAGATGAGAGACTAATTTATTACTGTTGAGAGATGAGGTATTATTTGTTATTTTGCTACTTTATATTGTGCACTAGTACTTAGTAGCACTATTTAATATGGTATATTGGTATTACATGCTAAGAATTGACAATATTAAGGTATTATATATTAAGATGTTTGTATGGCGTCGCCTCGCCGCGTGCTTTAAACGCCTAGGCATTTGGAAGGGGGTGGCTCGCCGCGCTTCGCCGTACTGCCTTAATAACCTTGGTGACTCGTGAGACACAATTGATGCGAGGTAAACAGTGCTCTGAGAAGTTGAGACGACCAAGTTTGCAATCAGACTGTTATGAAAATGGTTGCCACCTGGTTCCATGCTTCCAACTGATAGCAAGTAATGATTTCTGCCTGGCTGGTTAACCGGCTCCAGCTCTAATCTAGATAGGGCACGGATGTTTGCAGAGGTGGTTTCCCGCAACTTGACCCAAAATCTAGGTAGGGCATGGATGAGCCATTACAAAATTGGGGTTATGCCTGTTCCCAAAAAAAAAGTTTCTGCTATTTTCGTTACCTTTGGGCATATTAAGAATATTTTATATATTACTATATTTTTGTGTAAAAACGATGCAAAACCTTGCTAAATCCTATGAATCTTCTGTCTGAGTTAACAAAGAAAGTCCCAACTCAAGCCTCAACGTATGGGCGTGTATGGCATATCCATCTTTTCGTTACCTTTGGGCATATTAAGAATATTATATATTATATATTACTATATTTTTGTGTAAAAACGATGCAAAACCTTGCTAAATCCTATGAATCTTCTGTCTTGAGTTAACAAAGAAAGTCCCAACTCAAGCTTCAACGTATGGGCGGGTATGGCATATCCATCTTTTCCTGTCTTGATTTCACTCCACTTCAGTTTTTTGTGTTATTTGTCCACTTGTCTCCTTTGATAATCAGCCATTTGGTATGTGATGGAATCATTAAGCAGTAAGGATTCTTATGTCTTTCTATGTGACTAAACATTATTGTCAATGTGGGTCTACTAGGTTGTAAAAAGGAACAAGTGTTTTCTTCTCCAAATTTGAGTATCTGCGTGTGTATTATATGTGGTAGGAGATGAAAATGGCGCGGATAATCTTAATTGTTTCCAAATCATTTTTCAAATTTATGATATCATTTCTGATTGTTTCGTATTTGTAATATCATTTCTGATCATTTCATCCTTAATGTAACCAGATATCTCTCTGCATGCATTACCATGAATTCTCATTATCCGTTACTCTGTTATCCATGCAGTCGAAACACTCATCGCCGTTTTCTATTCCATTTTCAGGAAAGGGAACGGGATCATTTCTCTCAGTTCATAACTGAAAGTTTTACATTATACTGTAAGAGGAAAAGGAGAGATAAGGTTAGTTACTAATTTACTATATATATGCTATGCAAATTATTTTCTTCCCACCTCTTTATTAGTTCATTTTCTTTCCACAACAATCTAATTCAGTGTGGGTAACCTTATATGGTGGTATTATGATGTGATTGTGTGCAGTTCTTTTATATAACCTTGTGAGTTGTAAAACCTATAGTTTTTTGGTCAAACAACTGTTGTACATAATTTTTTTCTTCTCCTGGTGCTTTCTTGTCCCCTGTCAAGCATCGGGGACCTATTTGGATCTGCATTAATATTTACTAATACATGCCTACATGCAGCAGAGCATTGATTTTGTCCTAACTTTGGAAACCTTTGAGCGATATTAAATAAGCGCTTAATTGGATACAGTGAGCAGCTGCCTTTATAATATGACCTAACAGAATAGGAAATTCTAAAAGGAGAAATTTAGCATTGTTGCCCATTTCTTTCAAAGCTCTTATCTTAATTGGTTGTTCAATTCTTTAGGTTTATGGCAACAATGTTGAGATCCAGGCATTTGCAGAGATGTACAATCGTCCCATTCACATATATTCCTACAGTGCAGGTAAACTTTGCTCAAGCATTTGAAGATTTTTTATCCTTGTTGCTCATTGTTTAATGCTAGCCAGTATCAGCTCTTTAACATGTTTGCTGTTATCGCAGAGCCCATTAACATTTTTCAAGGAAGCTATAACACAGACGTTCCACCAATTAGGTTGAGTTACCATCATGGTAATCATTACAATTCAGTGGTTGATCCCCGCCGACAGACAGTTGGGGCAGGCCTTGGATTTAACTCCCTTAGAGGGGTAATTCACTTCACTGAACCTTTTCTTTGTCTGCATGTAGTAGTCAGTACACATTTAGTCATTTTCTGGATATAAATGGTTATGTTGTCAATCATAACGGTTTACTGTGTCAGGTTGGTGGCCTTGTTAAATAATCTTTTCATTTCCCTTTTTTTGTAGACCAATAATGTTGACAGGGACCAGGTGAAGGCTGCAATAAAAGCTCAACAAGACCAGCAAATTGAGAATGTAACTACTACAAGTTATTTCCATGTGTTCTTGCCATCCTGATATTCTCACAAATCAAACAAGCCTATCATCTAAGAATGTCATGACATAGTTAATTCTTGTTTTGGCAATGTCAGGCACTTTTGGCGGAAGGGCGATTCTACTCCGATCTGGAGTTAACAGAGAGGGAAATAGAACGGATGGTGATGGACGCCTCACGTTCAGAATATCTGGCCAAGGAGAAAAAACTTAACATTAGGGAGTCATCGACATCAGGGGCAGAGCCATCTTCATCTGCTGCAAGTAAGATCGTCTTTTTTTTGGGGGCATTTTGAGAACTCTTAAGTGTACCGCCAATCAGTTTGCTTGAAACTGGCATGTTTTGCTGTTCTGTAGTTAGTGGTTCCTCCCGTTCAGTTGCTGGAGCAGATAGAGGCAGCGAGGACTACTTTGTGCTCCCAGACACTGTACTGACTCGCAGCATGCAGTTGCTCCTGGCAATGGGCTTCAGCTACATCCAGGTCATGGAGGCCTACAGCATATTCGGTGAGGACGTGGACTCGATGGTCTGCTACCTGGTGGAGACCGGAGGCACTGGAGCCTCAGCAGGTGGTAGCAATCGCCGGAAAGGAAAGGCTGCTGAGTGATGTGTGCACCTTCATTGCTGTGAATGTAGGGCATAAGTCATACCAGATAATGACAGTCCTGTGAGTTGAGATGTCGATATACCTGCTACCTTATGGGTGATGAATAAATGGAACTCATGACTTGAGACTTTTCGATGCTGTCTAGTGCTTAATAATGGCAGTTGGTGGCTGGGATTCCGTGAAAATTGGTGGTGGGTCACGCTGGTGCGGTGGTGCCACCCATTGTGTGATCCTTGCGGGAACTGGGAAGCCAAATCTTCAGCGAAACATTTGTTGTCGTCGTGCACATCGGCGACCTGGGAGAAATTGTGTCTATGCTTTGTGTGCAAAACATATATGATGGATCTGCTCGGCCTATAAAAAGATAGGAAGTTTAAGACATCTCTTGTTTAGCTACCTAATTCATTTTCAGATGCCAGAATTGGGTCAAATTCAGGGTCGCCACGTTCATTTCGATGATGCCAAACCCTCGGCTGTTTTTTTTAATGTAAACATATGTGTTTCGCATATGCATTTTTGACGATTGCGCATGCCTTTTTAACCTACAGAGCCCAAATGCCCATTTGCACTTCATCTAAACTCCCGTGGGAAATCAAATCACCATTTGCAGAGAGAGTCTATTTTACCTCATTGAATATTTGTTGATATTTTCCTTCCTGGACTTCAAAACTAGACATCTGACCCATGAACTCTCAAATCATTCAAATTACTTCACTGCCTTGCTTTGAGATGGTTTTGAATGTAGTTTGTCTTTTGTTTAGTTAAATTCTTTAAATACTTGACAAAGTTTTTAAACTACAATGTCTCTTAGCTTCTTCTTTTTTTGAAAAAGATAGTAGAGATAGATTGGCATACCAAGAATCTAATTATAATATCTATAACTCATGAAAAATGTCTATAAGCTCCAAAAAATTATTTAGCTCTAGAAAAATAAGGAAAACATCCAGAAAAAAAAAAAAAAATCAAAACATTGTAATCGATGTCTAAACATGTTTTGTAAACTTTACGCGGCAAAAATATTAATTGCAACTAGCATGAGTGCAACATACATCGATGATATACATTCTTCTGGCTGTGTCTTATGTTTTTTGTTGTACAAAGTTTTCATAACATTTGTATAGATCAAATAGAACATTTTGGGAAATTTTCTAGATATTTCACTTATTTTTGTAGAGTTAAATCTAAGGATATGTTTGGCAAGCTATAATTTGTGGCTCCTCCAAAACGGTTATAGCTCTTTCTTTTTCCACTAAAAAAGTGCTCAAAATAGCTCCTCCATCTAGATTGTTTGGTAGGGCTCTTTTGGAGGAGCCGGAGCCGGACAGGAACCCTGCTAAACAGGCCCTAAATTTTAAAAACTTCTAGAGACATTTTCACGAGTTATAAATATTTTATTTGAATTATTCGTATCCCGATCTATCTTTAGAATTTGTTTGAAAGTCATAGAAGCTTATAGATATTTTCTGTGGCTTAGTAATCTTAACAAGTAGTTACTAGACTTTTTAAGTAAAAATCACTTTTAAAACCACTTTCAAACGAGACACGGAGATAGTTTGAATGGATGATTTTGACTTTTGAGAGTACATCATATGTCTGGTTTTAGACTAGCTGGACAAGGTAGTTAAATGAATTTTTGCTTTTGTAGACGGGGCTGCGGGCCGGACTGCCGGTGCCGGGGAGCGAGCCCATATGCAGCGATGATACACACGCCACGTGCCCCTAAGAGCCGAGCTTTGCCTGTGCGCCGTCTCGTCTCGTGCCCTCGCCCAGTCTAGCCTCGCCTCCGTGCTTCCGTTCCACACGCGGCTCCAAACTTCCGAATAAAAGGGGCAGCCATGGCCATGGCGGCGCTGCGGGAGGCCTCCCGCTGCCTGGCGTCCAGGGGGAGCCCTGCGGCCGCGCGACCCATGCTCCTCGCGCAGTCGCGCGGCATCACTTACAAGCTCTTCGTCGGAGGTTGGTTTTTTTGGCCTCAATTGCCCATTTCCTCCCCCAGTTCTCAGTCCTTACGCGCGCGTCCCTCTACTTCTTGACCAGTCGAGTGCTCTGCTCCCTCTTTTGCATTTCGCTGGTGGAGGGAAGCACATCTGTTGAGTGCCTGACTCGTCGCCAGGGCACGCGTGCCTAGTGTTCGACGGAATGCCCTGCCGGTACAGGCCGGTCGGCTTGATGCCCCCATTGAGACCATTTATAGTTACACTGATTTTTAGTTTCTAACTGAGCGCGGTCTGCAAAAAATAATCTAGTCGTAACACCAATATCAAAATCAAAATCATAGGAAAGTAGCGCTAAATTGTGAAATTTACTCCTACAATTTCGTACCACAAAATACGCAAAATCAGAAACATGCAGTTTGAATCTTGAAATGTGTGGCAGCACATTGATTGGATCTCTGCTGCTTGTGAGAGACTAGTGCGTCTCAAAGTCTCTGGCTTCTAAGAGCATGGCTAATAATAAAACTCAATGTTGGTTATATGTACATTTACAACTCATCTATGAAATTTTCATCATATAATCAGTGGCGGATCTAGGATTTTGGCATAGGGTATGCCGCATCAAATTTCTCATATGCAATCTAACATGTGTGATGTAGTAAATTTACGGTATCCCTTCAAGATATGTGTGATGAAGTATATAGGAAAACAAAAATATGTGTGTGGTAATAATGCATCAAAATTCTCATATCCTATGGCGAACTTTCTATACCACAAAAGTATGTGTGATGAAGTATATAGAAAAACAAATGGTAGTAATGCAGTTAAAGTATCCCTTCAAGAAATGATGAAATCTAACATCAGTTAATGATGATTGATATGTTATAACAGCTTATAATTTTTTTTCATCTATTGAGCAAACTTGCGGAGTGCCACATTTGTATGAAGTATAAATGTTATCGATAATGGGGAAAAAAACATCAGCAAATATGCATGCATGTCGATGCTACGCTGCCCATCTACTGGCCTACGACGCTTTTGGGTATGGCCTACGACTCTGCTCATGTGATGTGAATGCTACACGGCCCATTTTTGGTCCAGATGGAGGCGATAGGCCAGGAGCCCAAATGTGTATCAGTCGTTTCCTGTTCCCCTTCTCCTTTGCGTCTTCGTCAGTTCCTCGCAATTTCGACGGGCACGCCGCTGCGCGGCTGAGACCCCAGAGGCCAGAGCTGAAGCGGTGAAGCTGTCTGCGAGGGAGAAAGAGATGTTCGCCAGGTCTGGCTACCACCACGCAATATTGCTGGATTCGCCCCTGCAACTTGCATCAGCCTAGGGTATGCCGCACCATACCCGTGCCACCCGCTGGCTCCGCCTATGCATATAATAGTGTGCCAACTAAGCAAAATAGTGATGTGACATTGAATTTAAGAAAGAGAGAGATAGAGATAGTGTCTTATATAATAAGAAATTATGTCCGCACGAGAAACAAGATAGAATGAGATGTGATAGGTAGATGATAGGAGAGGAAGACATATGATTTGACAAAAATCTATTTTATTTAAGAAAACCATCCATTATGAATATGATTTTTTTGTGTAGTGCCAACATGACTTAGTATGGAAACTGTCCAATAGTTTCTAGGTTGGGTCTCTCACAAAGTTTCTTAGAGATTGTGCATCAGCTGGCTATAACTGCATCCTACTTCTCTACTTTCTCCTCTCTCTGTTCCACCTAGCATAAATCTCACTTAGAGCAAGTATAATAATGGTCTTATAGCTAATCTAATGCTGATATAGAGGAGAAGAGAGGAGAACTTAGCTCTCATGCAAGCAATAAGCTGGACACGACGTCTATGCAGTAGTGGCCAAGTAGCAAGTATATGTGAGGAGAAATAGGAAAGAGAATGTGAGACATGGTACCACATAGTAATAAAAAAATTGTAGATAAATAGGAGACAACTATTGTATAACTTGACTTATAGCCAAGCACTTGGGTCTATTATTTTTTTGTATATTTAGTTAGACTTAATTGTTTTTAACTCCTTGAAAAGTGAATTTCATTGTTTTTGGGATGGAGGGAGTAGACCTTTTTTCCATTAGCGTCTAGTCCATTGTTTTCAAGGAATTAAATGTTCCTCGGAAGTTGGTGTGCCAAACTGCCAACATCTTTGATCAGAAGGATCTTTTGTGTCAACATAGGTTTTGGTGTGGGTTTGTGTGGGTTTTTTTAAGGGATCTTTACCCATGTTTTTGTTCTCTTTTTAATATAATAATACGCAGCTCTCCTGCATGTTCGAGGAAAAAAAGTATCTACTCCAAATGTGGGCACCCTTCTAGGACTGCCTGTTATGTAGGACTGGGACATTTAGTTTCAGTGATTTATATGCCTTTATGCCTTATAGAAATAAATAAATTACAAAGAGCACATTTTAAAGTTGTCGATGTAGTAGGAGTATATTACTGAGCATCGGAATTCTAGTGGATCCCAACTAACTGTTTAGGTTTATACTGCTTTTTTTTCACTTGAAAAGTGAAATGTACATTGTTTTGGGGACAGAGGGAGTAGACCTTTTTGCCATTAGCGTCTAGTCCATTTGTTTTCAAGGAATTAAAATGTTCCTTGGAAGTTGATGTGGTGCCAAACTGCCAATATCTTTGATCAGAAGGATCTCTTGTATAACAACATAGGTTTTGGTGTGGGTTTGTGTGCCTTTTTTTTTTGTAAGGGATCTTTCCCCATGTTTTTGTTCTGTTTTTAATATAATCATATGCAGCTCTCCTGCGTGTTGCCGTGTTCGAGAAAAAAAAGTATCTACTCCAAATATTGGCACCCTTCTAGAAGGACTGCCTGTTATCTAGGACTGGGACACTTAGTTTCAGAGTGCTTTATATGCCTTTATGCCTTATAGCAGCAGCAACAGCAACAACAAAGCCTTTATGCCTTATAGAAAGAAAGAAATTACAAAGAGCACATTTTAAAGCTGTCCATGTGATAGGAGTATATTACTGAGCATCGGAATCCTAGTGGATCCCAACTAACTGTTTAGGTTTATACTGCTTCTTT